ATCCCATTTGTTTCTTTTCTGGACTCAGAAAGTGCAGCATTTCCTGAGTCTCGTTTGTAGTGGGATTTCATTGATTTACCCTGAAATGCAAATATTCACCCTCTTCTTTTGGCAATTTTTAATTATCTTATTTTTACTACATTTTAGATAATGTGGCATATAAGACCTGCTAAATATTTTAGTCTTTTTTATTTTTTATTTATTTTTTATTTTATTGTTTTGTTTTGTTTTGGTTTTTGGTTTTTTGGTTTTTTTGGTTTTTTGTTTGTTTGTTTTTTTTTGGTTTTTTTTTTTTTTTTTTTTTTTTTTTTTTTTTTTGTAAATACCCATATGGGAACTTAGACTAACTGAATCACAGAAACAAAAATCTCAAGAATGGAGTGTTAGTCACTACAACAGTTTCCTGGAAATAAAAATTTAAAACTACCATCTTAAAAGTCTAGAGCCCCAGATTCAAATCTTGGCCTTTTAGAATAACAAAGGGTTGCCTTAAGGATGCTTTCAATGCACAGGCTGTTTCCCAGTCCCCTGTTCTTTCCAGTTTTAGTATCCTCCCCTCTGAGCCCCTCAAAAAGGAGGAAAAAGAAAAACAGCAGCAGGCAGCCCTCGCTTTGTCTCTTGTTGGCCATAGAATTTATTCAGTAATTTACTCTTCAGCTAACTGTAGCCATGGCCCTTGCCTCTGGGCGCTTGTTCAAAAACACGGGAATGAAAGAACAGATTGGCTTGGCTGAGCACAACTCCCAGTCACAATCCTGCCCTCTCCTCCTCCTGTCACCCCATTAGGCAGAGGCCCTGGAGACTGGCTGAAGACATGGTGATATTTATGTCGCCTGTGTGTCTCCACAGAGTGCCTTTGCATCAGCACCCCTCTTCCCCTTTATCCTCGGCCCCAGAAAGATGAGAATAGGGTGTTTCATTCCTAGCAGGCCACCTCTAATGGTTTCTGGAGGCTGGGAAGTGGCTCATTCAGGAGTAAAGTGAATCCGGGACCCCCCACTAAAAATGCTGGGTGTGACAGCACAGTCCCGACCGACCCCTGGGAGATTGACCAGCCAGCCTAGCTGAAGCAGTGAACCCAGAGTTCACTGAAAGACACTGTCAAGGCAGAGGAGCTAAAGCCATTCAGTGATTAGAAGTTCACACTGCTCTGTGATTTCCAGCACCCTGGTCAGGCAAGTCACAACCCCATTTCTGGGGGTCTGATGCCCACTTCTGGCCTCACACAGGTACACACTTATACACATAAATAAATGTTTAAAAAATAAGGTGGAAATTGATTGAACAGGACACCTGAACTCTGGCTCCCACATACATAGAGTCACACTTGTGTGTGTGTGACCATCCCTCACACAGAACTTCTGAACTGACTCTGAAGGCATCCAAAGGGGAATGGGCATGGTTGAGACAGCAGTGTATGGACTGTACTGAATGGCCAATTTCAGTTGCTGGGGGAGTTTAGTCCTGTGTGGTTTTTAGCTGTTTTATTTGGGTCAGACTAAACAACAGTTGGTTCGATTCATATCAGCCATGTGTGGCCTTCCCTGAGCTATCTCCTGACGAGCTGAAATTTATCTGAATGAGATGGAAGATAGAGTTGATGAGGGTCTTATCTAATCAAGAGAGAATTGTCTTCTGATCAGATAGCCCCCTTGTGGTGACACATACTTGAAAATCATACAGGGCTGAGATGGCCCCAGTTGATGAAATGATAGCCACAGGAGAACCTGAGTTTAGTTCCCAATACTGACATAAAAAGCCAGACATAATGATACACACATGAAACCACAGTACTGCAGAGGTGGAGACTGAGCTCCTCTCTAGGGCTCAGTGCCAGCCGGTCTACCCAGTGAGTGAACCCCATGTCCTAATGAGGGATCCTGTAGAAAAAACAAACAAACAAACAAAAATAGATAGCACCTAAGGAATGATGATTGAGGTGTCCTCTGACCCCCCAACACACAGGCATACATACAGCACAGAGAGAAGTAAGGATCCACGTGACTCCCTGCCAATGCTGGGATTATAGATGTGTACCATGACACTCAGCCTTTTCTCTGTATGCATCTATGGTAGAGCTCAGGAGCTCAGGCTTGCATGGCAAGTGCCTTTCCCCAGTGAGCCCCCCCTCAGCCTGATCAAACTTGTGTCAACAGGCTTAGCTGCAGCCCTCCACAGTCTCTCACTGAACTAGGAACTCACAGATTAGGCTGTGCTGGCATCCCCTACTCAACCACCTCCCCAGCCCCTGTACATCTTTTATCAGAGAATAATCCCCAGAGGAGGTGAAATTGTGGATTACGCTCCTTGATTTTGATTTACATACACTAAATGGCGAACCCAGCTGGAATCACAGTAGACTGAGCTCATGGGTGAGGCATAACCAAATGAAGTGCTAGAATGTGCCAGGGGGTTAGACAGCCTGTGCTGAGTCTATAATGCCACCGACATTCTTTGTCTGTTAAATGCTCACAGCCCTGTCTTTTGCTTCCCTTATCAGCTCACACCCCAGATAACAGCTTCCTGGGCTTCGTGGTCGAGCAGCACCTGAACTCTAGCGACATCCACCACATTAATGAGATCAAAAGGCAGAACCAGTCCCTTGTGTATGGCAAAGTGGATAGTTTCTGGAAGGTGAGTCAGCCCACCTGCTGTCGAGCTCTCTGAAAGGAAGCTTGTGAGGTAATTTAATTTTGCTTTGATCCAGGGAGTAATCAAGCTAAGTGCCCAAGGCTTATGTCCACTAGACATAAACAGGGGTTCAGTTGTTCTAGCAGGCTGGTATTTTAACTGGGGTTGCTTATCCTTCCTTACAGCAATTGTACCCCAAACCTTTTACCTCTTTGCATGTTAGATGTGAGACGTGGACTAGGGAGATTGCTCAGTGGGTCAAGTGCTCTTTGAACAGGCATGAAGACCTGAACTCTGATCCTTAGGGCCACATAAAAAGTAGGGCATGGTAGCACATGCTAGCTAGGTGGATGCAAAGTCAGAGGGTCCCTAGAGCACACTGGTCAACCAGTTTAGCTGAATCAGTACATTCAGGTTCAGTGAGAGACCCTGCCACAAAAGATTCAGGTGGAGCTTGACTTAGAAGGCTAGTGAATACCATCCTCTTTATATACAACATATCAGCCTCAGGAAGACAATGTTGTAATTTTGAAAGACTTTTGATGGACAGACACCCGAGGACTTTTCTCATACACTTCTTCCTTAATGTCCAATAAAACCTTTCGTGGAATAATCATAAACTGTGATCTTATGCTTTGTGTCTCCCCCATGGAGGAAGTTAGAAACTGACTCCTGAGGGTGTCAGTGACATGCCCAGCTAGGAGGTCCAGTTGCTTTTCTGATCTACTATTCAGAAAATGAAAGGTGTTGTCCACCCTTCGGGTCTGCAGTGCCAACTATACCAAAGGAGCAAGGGAGCTGGCAGGGGTTTTTTCACATGTATGTATTTCTTTGTGTGCACGTATATGAGTGAATAACGTATCCATGCATGTGGGGATCAGAAGACAACTTGAAGCAATCAGTTCCCTCCTACCGTGTGAGTTCCAGGTTCCAGAGATCAAACTTGGGTTGCCATGCTTAGTGGCAAGTATCTTTGTGGACTAAGCCATCTTGTGGGTCCCAGTGGCTATGATGGGCATTGATTTATTCCCAGATAATGGTCTTTATTAGAGACAGCTAGATTGTGTACTACATAGTATATCTCAAGTAAGGACAGTTTCACTGCCTCTGGCAGTGTCTCCAGACAATTTTGATCATCATGTTTGGTGTCCAAGGCGTGTAGGTGAGGAATATTATAAGCATGCTATGGTGCATGAGAGGGCTCCCCAGCAAAATTATCTGACATACGTCAGCAGTGATGCTAAGAATGAGGATCCCTGCACTCACAGAATAGTTATTCCTTATGTGTTATCACAAGTTAAATATTCCTCACTAAAAATTTTGAAATCCAAAACACTTGATGCTAACATAGTCCTGGGAGTTGGGGGGGGGGGTGTCCACCCATGTGGCAGGTCTCAGTCCAAACCCAGAACTCCAGAACTGCAAGAAATGACTTTTATCCTATGTGTATTCAGATAGTGTATGTTATGTGTTGAATCTGAACCCCTCCCCCATTGGCTCATGTGTTGTGTTGATCCTGAGCTGGTGATACTAGTTTGCAAAAATGTGGAGCCTTTAGGAGGTGTGGTACCTCCCTGGAGGAAGTAGGTCACTACAGGAGGGCCTTGAGGACTTTTAGTCCTGCCCTACTTCCTGTTCAAAATCTCTACTTTATGACTAGACACTCCATAGCCTAAGTTGGTTTAGTAATACTTAGTATATAGGCTAGGCTGGCCTCACAGTCTTAGCAATCCTCCTGTCTCTACCCATCAAAGGGCTGGGATTACAGATGTTGAGATAAGGACCTCCTGAGAGCCACCATGACCAGCCTTGTTTTATATTTTGAAACAGGATCTTTCTGTGTTACCCAGACTGCCATGGGACTTTAGATCTTCCTGCCACAGGCTTCCTAGTATAGGGATTCAAGTTGTGTACCACGCACCCAGCTCTTGGCTTGTTTTTTCATGGGACTCATCAGCACATCTCATAGCACAACTAAATGTTGCTGTTATTGATACCATTATTGGGCCAGTTACGAATTGCATGGTGAGAACTGGTTCTGAGTGTGAGAATGGTCAAGCCTGTAAGCATCTGGTAGATCTGGGCCAGCCTGCAGATATTCAGATGCCCATTCTTAAACTGTGTCAACAGTTGGTGACCCCTAATCCACACACTGAATCCAGCCCATTATCTGTATCTGTAAATAGCATCTTATTGGAAAACAGCCATGCCTCCTCTTTGTCTGTGGACGCCTTTGTACTAAAATTGTAGGGTTGAGTAATTGTGACAAAGAGTAGCTGACCTACAGAGGCAGCAGCATTTACTGCCTGGCCTTTGCCGGAACACTGAACTCTGTTATGTCTTGAGCAAACCCAGTCCCTCTCAGGATGCACTTGGCTAGCCTTTCCATTTCTTTACCATTCTGTCTCCATCTTTTTGTACATGAGTACCTAGTAGGTGCATGTGCATGTGTGTATGGAGGCCTTAAGACAACCTTAGCTGTCATTCCTCAAGCATTCCACCTTGTTTCTTTCTTTTCTTTCTTTCTTTCTTTTTTGTTTGTTTTGTTTTTTTCAGACAGGGTTTCTCTGTAGCCTTGGCTATCCTGGAACTCCCTCTGTAGACCAGACTGGCCTTGAACTCAAAGACTAAAGCCATGTAACACCACCACCCAGCTCTGTCTTGATTTTTTTTCCAACTTTTTTTTATTTGAATTAGAAACAGGATTGTTTTACATGACAATCCCATTTCCCTTCTCCCACCCATCCTCCCCTACCCTCCACCTTGATTTTTTAAGACAGAGTCTTTCACTGGCCTGGAACTCACCAATTCCACTAGGCTGACCAGTTAGCAAGCCCAGCAATCTGACTGTCCCCACTTCTCTGGTGCTGGTGTATTTACAAGGGTGCTACTGTCAAACTCAGGTCCTCATGCTTCCAAGGAAAGTACTGGCTGAGCTATTTCTCCAGAACTCATTTTGGGGTTCTTCATTATGTTGGTGAATAACTTATTTGTGGAGAAATGAAGCAGGACTTCAGGAAAATTCAGCTCTAAATGTTTTCTGAAGAAAAAGCTCCATGCACAAAGACTGGCATCAAGCTGGCTACTTTTCCAGGCTTCAGTGAAATGACTAATGCATTATTCTCATTTGGTTTCTGTTGCTGTCATAAAACACTGGATAAAACCAACCTGAAAGAGAAAAGGTTGTAATCCGTCATTGAGGAAAGCCAAGGAAGAACTCAAACAGAGACCATGGAGGAATGCCACTTACTAGCTTGCTTCTGTGTCTTGCTCAGCTACTTTTCTGACACAGCCCACGTCTAGCTGCCTAGGGATGGTACTGCCTACAGTGGGATGGGTCCTCTTGCATAATAATAGATAAGAAAATGCCTAAGAGGTCTTGCCTCTTGCTCCTCTCTTCTTCCTCTTGTTTTTTTCCATGTTCTCTCTTGTCTGTCCGTCTGTCTGTCTGCCTGCATGCCTGCCTGCCTTTCTCATGTCCACACTCTGACATGGCCATTAGCTCTCCCCCTTCTCCAATAAACCTCTTGCACTAAAAAAAAAAAAAAAAGAAAGAAAGAAAATGCCTCAGAGATGTTGCCACCAGGAAACGTGATGGAGACAAATTATATTCCCTTTTGTAGGTTTGTGTCAAGCTGGCTTTGGCCAATGGGGGATATAGCTAACGCAGTGGTAGATGCCCAGGGTTAAATTCCCAGCACAAGCTAGAAGACTCTGTTCCATCTCCAGCATTATGGCAGTTTGTAGACATGTTTCCACTTCTTGGATCCCTTCATAGCCATGATTGAAGGTGGTACATGCTGATGTCCTTTGTTCTTGGCCATCCTTAACTATGATGGAGCCACATGGCCAAGGTCTCTCAATCTGTTCAAATTGGCAGAGCCAGGGTCCGGGCTCTGCCCTACCTCTCTTGACTCAACTCCTTGTTGTCCCATGATTGATTGAGCTTGGTTGCTTCATGTACAAAGCAGTATTCCAAAGTCTGGACAGACAGTCAACCTGTATGACTCAAGTGTCCAGTTGGAGCTTAAGGCAAATATTAGCATAGCAGACAAGCCACGTGCCTCCCTGGTGGTCACTAGCCATAGTCTAGGCAAATTGGTGAACTTCAGGTTCAGCCTCATGTGTCCCAGTCTGGTCTCCAATTTTCTATGTAACCAAGGATGACCTTGAGTGTCTGATCCTCCTGCCTCTACTTCTTGAATGCTGAGATTGCAACATTTTACTACCATACCTGATATATGCAGTATTGAACTACATACCAGGCAAGCAAGTACTCTGCCACCTGAGCCACAGCTTCATCCTAAGATGTATAATTATTAACCGTGTTCCTTGGGATGCTACAGTACAGTCACTGTGAGCTATTCAAGGACAGCCACACCATATTTAGCCTACCCTACTAGGGACACTCTGGCATTCTGTAGGGATGATTTCAATATTTCAAAACAGTGGAAACGTTGCTTTAAACAGCCAGAAATAAGTCCGTAAAGTGTATAGTCTAGGTGACCTCTGAGTCTGAGGTAGAGTCTCATCCAAAGAACTATGTAATTATCTGGCTTGCTAATTGGGATGACTCTGGCTTCATTGAAATGCAGGCAGAATTGGAAATGGGAGTCATTTGGAGAAATTCCATTTGATTTCTTAGTGGGGATTAACTGCTTTTAATGCATGATCTTAATGAACCACCAAAGACCATTATAATTAGAGAATAGACTGAAATTCCTGAAAAGAACCCTGTTTTGTAAGTAGGCTAAACCTGTGACCATACTTCCTTCTCACCAGAAAGCAGAGACAAATGAGGTAGACAGCCACCTTATGTCACCCTAAGCATATATACCAAGATAAAAGGAATCAACGTTGAGTCTGTTGAAGTCTGATATTATAGCTCCTTTTTAAAAAAGATTTATTTTATTACTTTTTAAACCATATGTAAGTGCATGTGTTTATGTGTGGGTACATGCACATGAAGAGCCAGGTGCCCCAGGAAGCCAGAAGAGGGTATT